GCTAGAATAAATAAGAAAGGGGACAAGGGATCCCCTTGTTTTATCCCTCTCTCAGGGGAGCAAAAGCCAACAGGGCTTCTGTTAACAAGAACAGAATATTTGACTGTGGAGAAGGTATATCTAATCCATCTGATCCATTTTTCACCAAATCCCATCTGCCATAAAATTGAAATGAGATACTGCCAATTGATTTTGTCAAAGGCCTTCTCTATATCAAGCTTAAAGAGCACGCCAGGTTCACCATTTTTTTGCCTCCAATCCAAGACTTCATTAGCAATTAGTGCAGCATCTGTAATCTGCCTGCCTTTAATAAAAGCATTCTGGTAGCCAGAGACCAACTTCCCGATCACCTTTTTAAGTCTCTCGGTCAGCACTTTTGCCACTATCTTGTAGACACTACTAGTAAGACTAATAGGTCTGAAATCTTTGAGTTCAATTGCTCCTTTCCTTTTAGGGATGAGAGCAATAAAAGAGGCATTAAATGACTTAACCATGTGACAGTTTCTATGGAAGTGGTTGAAAGTCCCCATGACATCCAGTTTTACAGTTTCCCAACATCTTTGATAAAAAGCCAATGTAAAACCATCAGGGCCAGGGCTTTTGTCAGGTGCGCAAGAGTTGATAGCATCTAAAACTTCCTCCTCTTCAAAAGCAACTTCCAAGGCATCCTTCTCCTCATTGTTCAAACAACCCAAGCCTTCAAAAGTACAACTAGGTCTCCAAGTTTCATTCTCAGAGTATAGAGCTTGATAAAAATCTATTATTACCCTTTTAATCTGTTCCTTTTCTTCAATGATATCCTCTCCCACTTGTAGTCTGTCAATGCAGTTATACCTCCTGTGAGAATTGGCTACCTTTTGAAAGTATTTTGTATTTCTGTCACCCTCTTTCAACCACAAGCATCTTGACTTTTGTCTTCATGATATTTCTTCAACCTTGGCTAATTGTTGTAACTCCATTTTTAGCTGAAGGATCTTATTTGTTTCAGCTTAAGTCTGCAGTCTTCCTTCAGTTGCTTGTTCCATTAATAATAGTTCTTCCATAGCTTTGTTGGTTCTGGTGCTAATTCTACCATATGACTCCCTATTCCAGATTGCTAAATCCTTCTTTAGAAGTTTAAGCTTTTGGGATAGTACAAAGTCAGGGGAGCCATTTACCACATAACCATGCCACCATTGTTTGATCATATCACAAAACCCTTCATGTTGTAGCCACATGTTTTCGAATTTAAAATAAGAAGGTTCAGAAGTCCAATCTCCACTTTCCAAGGCAATAGGCCTATGATCAGAAACAACTCTAGGAAGGGCTAGTTGTTGAATTGAACCAAAGAGATCATTCCATTCAGAAGAGATCAGAAACCTGTCAATTCTTGATGCCTGTAGAGAATTTTCACCCCTAGCCCAAGTGTAAAAAGCTCCCTGTAAAGGGAGATCCACCAAGCTCATGTCTTGAATGAAGTCAGAAAATCTTTTCATAGCCCTTGTTGTACTTTTCTTTTATTATTTGTTACTTGTTGTTGTTGTTGACAATTATTGTACTTCTTGCTGTTAATATGCAGGTGAAGTTGAAGAAAAACAAGTATAATCTGTCAGATGAGGACGAGGAGGACTTCAATATAGGTGCCTCATTGGGAAGGGATGATTTTGATGAAGAAGTCCCATTTGACGAGGATGAGGAGGATTATGGGAGTAATGGTGAGAATCACCCTTCTCAGTGTTGCTTTTCTCTCTCTGGCGAATAGTTTAGTTTTTATTTATCGTGCAATCTTGACGATTTCAACTTCCTCTTTTGCCCATTTCTATATGTATATAAAATTGTATGGAACATACATACATACATGTGTGTGCGCTCGCGCTCATGAGTAGATGCACATACTAGTTGTTTCTGGTCAGGACCACTAGCATTATATCTAAAATAGTTTATTTAGCCCAAATTGCCTTGATTAGATGGTATTATTGGTTCTTAGCCAAGTCAATTGCTTGTGAATTGGAATCCTTTAACTGACTAGTACATCAACACACACTATACATTCTGTTGCAGTGTACTGTTGCTGCATCATGCCATACTAGGTAGGTATATGGAGATGTGATTTACTAGGTACAACTATGTAATGGTCTAGCCAGTTTTCTTTGCATCTTGAAGGATTTGCAGATTTGCATTCAGAATGAATTTCTTATACACTTACGCTCCTCTTAGCCAACTGAATTGTTACTGAAAATAGTAGAACCAATTAACACTACCTAAATATGGAAAGATTTTTTCTCTTGATAAGTACCTAAATGTGAAAGAGAAAAAGACTTTTAATTTTCTAGACTCATTTTCTAGAAGATTTTGATTATTTACTTTTCAGGTGCGGAGAACTTTTAATCTGTTATATGTTAGGGTATCATTGTAGCCATCCTAAAATTTGTTTTTTATTAATTTAATACTCCCTCTGTTCTTATGTGATGATGCTTGACTGAGCAGGGAGTTTAAGAATGAAAGAAATACTTTTGAAACTTGTCGTCTAAAACAAGCCATAGAAATTTTGTGGATATAAATCATTAGCTAAGGATAAAATGAGAATTTTAAAGTTAAATTGTTAAATATCGAAAGGCGTCATTCTTTTTTGGACCGACTAAAAGGAAAGAGTGTCAGAAAAAATTGGAACAGAGGGAGTAGTAGATAGTCTAGAGGTCTAATGAGCACGAGGTGCATCAAGTCAATTACTTCAAGATGCAATGTAAAGACCAGCCCTTTCCCCTCATGTCGGAGAGTTGCAGCAAATCCGGCGCATATCGGCACTTTATCAAATTCTGCAGGAACATATACAGATATTCATAAATCTGATAAGTGACTTCAGAAATTGAACAACGGAGCTCACAAGTTCGGTCCCATTGATTTGACGTTCAGCTGCATTTATCAGTTGGGCAAATCCCATTTTGGTTCCACCCTGAAATAGCACTAGAACACAACTGTAGTGCGATCATTAGCATTCTCTAGAATTTTTTGCCATGCTAATGATGGGCAGTTCCCTTCCTTTCAGTTGACAGTGGACAATTTTCGCAACCAAAAGATATTACTGAAATATATCTGCCGTATCCACCATTTCTCCTCTTTAGTTTGGTGGATTATGAAAATTGAAGAAATGATATGCTGAATTGTACTTTAAAACTTGTGCTGCATGTACTGTCACGTATGCTTGTTCATAGCTATGACAAACTGATAGGTTGAGTGCTAGATAAATGAAAAGCAATTCTGATTGGAATTTGAACTTTTAGGTACGGCAAAAAATGGAACAGTGACTATTTACCATACTTTATCCCAAAAACAGGAAAGAAACAGTTACAAATAAGTGGAGGAGGAAAATATGATATGATAAGTGAGGCATAGAAGTCCTTAATCATTGGAAATGTGTTATATGATTCTCCTTTGATTAGTTTTAAAGCCCTTAGCCAGTTTTTTCCATTTGATATGATGATATGCTTTACATTTTGTTTCCTTTGTAAAAGAGGAGCTGCTCTAGAATTGTTATCATGTCATAAGGTCTAAAGGGCTCTATTATTGGAGCAAGCAAATTGTCCCGTTTTCAGTTTTTTTTCCTACTTGCTCCTTGGGCAAGTGTTAAGAAGTACTATCACCATTTTTGTGTTTTCTATTCCTTCAATTCCATTGTGAATAAAAAATGGTCAATAAACCATTCTGCTGTCCTAAAGGTTGTAAGCCTGCCATGCATTGAGTAAAGAACCTTAGAGCTGCACATCTCGAAAGATGGAGGTGAAAACTGGCCTTTTCCCTTTCTCAGAATCTTATTACAATATAAAGAATGGAAGAACAACAATTCATTTTCATTTAAAGTAAAGACAGGAATGTTAGTATTAAATATTAGATGATGATTTTGAGTTTCCTTTGTTTTTGGTTCGTTCTCGGTCTTGTGAACTTCTTGTTGTTGCTACATGTGGAATTTCTAAATTATAATGAAAAGAATTACTCTCTCCATCCAAAAAATGACCTGCTATGACATGTATTTATGAGTTAACTGCTCGAATAGTTAAGTATATTGCGTTTCGTAGAGAAATGTTTAGAATGGTACTAGTTTAATATGTCAAAAAAGGGAGTAATTTGTTCCCAAGATGTCACGTTGAATTTGAAATCATATAAATTAGAATACTTTGAACTTGTACAGGGAGAAAACCTTTTTATCATAAAACATGCGCTGAGCTTTTCGGGATAGACCAAGAAAGTTGGTCACTTTCATTGGTTCAATGGAGTACCTTTTCACTTTTTGAGTCAGGGTAGGATAGCTTTACTGTATATTGTATTTAGTTTGGCCTACTCTGTATCCTGAATGGTAAGGATACCTATTTTTCTTTTATTGTCAGATGACCCTCCTTTTTTTGGCAGTTACTGCATAACAGTCTTAAGTCTATGTACATTTGAAAGAAACCATGAGCTTTTGATGGGGTGGAGAACGACCATGTACATTTGAGGAATAGCTTCTCATTCCTAGTGTCTTTTGGTGCACCAGTGAGCTTCCAGTTTGTGTAAAAGAATTGGTATTGTTCATATGTTGTAGATTCTCTAACTTCTTATATACTATTTGTTTACCGGAGATTTTCCCGTTATTGATAACTTTATTTACCTTCTAAAAAAACTATGAAGTCCTTATATAGTAACACAAGTTTGGGGCAAAGGAGAAAGTTTTCGATGGTCTTGATGCGCTTGGAGACTTATAGACTAGCTTCTTCCCGGACTTAAGGGCAGCCCGGTGCACTCAGCTCCCGCTATGCGCGGGGTCCGGAAGGGCCAGACAACAAGGGTCTATTGTACGCAGTCTTACCCTGCATTTCTACAAGAGACTGTTTCCGCTGGACTTTGTTATATTCAACAACAACAACAACCCAGTAGAATCCCACTAGGACTTTGTTATATTCAAAAAATGAAATAAAATAAAATGAGAAAAACCTATGAAGAAAAACCATTATCTTAAACCTAGCCTGGCTGCCAGCTAGAGGATTACAATCATGATAGGATTCAATCTTTATCAATATCTTGTTTACAGTGATGGTGGTAGTGTTCACCTTGGATTTTCTGCTATCTCGCATCTTAAATCGATCTTGTATGATCTGCTTTCCTCATAACAGCTGTCTGTTTCTGTGCAGATAAGTCAGCTATCTTGGGACACCTTGACTCTCATGGATCTCAGAATGCCCTAGCAGTTCCAGTGGAAGCAGAGGAAAATGTTAGATGCTTCCTCATTTTCACCTCCTCTTGATGCATATTCCCTGCTCTATTTTGGAGTTTACTCTATCAAGCTGCTAACAAATGAAATAGCGGATATCCTTCTCCCTTTAGGCCTCTACTATGATTAAGAGCTTACTTAATTGTTACACTGACTAATGTGGCATGATTTCACCTTGTAACTTAAACTGCTGCTCCATGCTTTTCTTTGGTTGTACAAAAAGAAACAAATCGAATATCCTTTGAAGGAATGACTGCATCTACAAATAAGATCAAACATGAGCATGCATATCTTTTCGGTTTTTGGTGAAAGTTGCTTAATGTACATGTTATTGATGCATTACTAGATCTTCACAGTACCCTACAATTATAAAAGGTATGAAAGGTGTATAGAGACTGAGATATTCTTTTGTCTGTACAGAGTACAGACAGCACCAGCTTGGTGCAATTTCATCAATAAAATTCTTTACTTATCAAAAAAAGAAATCGTTGTGCTCCACCTAAGCTGTCATGGGGCGGTCGTATGCTTTGACTGATGATACTGAACTAGCTTTTATTTCTGATAAGATGTCATTTACACATAGGTAACAGTACAATTACATATGAGAACACTGATTTTAGTGGCTGCCGGTAAAAACCTGGGTCCGAAAGAGAGAAAAATAAAGATTGTTATCAAAAGAAACAGGTTCTTACTTTCTTACTGGGAGCATACATCACTTTGTGTGGGATGATAGTCCATAGTTCACAAACATGTCTCGGAAGATTCTCTTTGTTGTTATTTGCAACCCATATGTCGTTCTGCTCCTGATTTGGTGTACCATCTTATTACAGAGGCAGAAAACCAAGAAAGAAGTGATGGAAGAAATTATTCAAAAGAGTAAATTCTTTAAGGTTTGTCATTGTTTAATGTCTTATTGTTGCAATCTGATAAGAGAATGGTTTGTTTACTTGCCATATGTTTGACAATTCTTTTGTTTTTCCTACATTGTTAGGCCCAAAAAGCAAAGGACAGAGAAGAAAATGATGAATTAACTGAACAATTGGACAAAGACTTTACATCGCTAGTGGAGTCGAAAGCCTTACTGTCACTGACCCAACCAGACAAGATAAATGCTCTGAAGGCTCTTGTGAACAAGAACATTTCAGTTGGTAATGTGAAGAAAGATGAGGTAGCTGATGTTCCCAGAAAAGCATCTATTGGGAAGGTATAAGTGGGTTTTTTTTTCCGTTTGCCGGATACATTCCTGATGGATACCGAGCATCCTAGTCTTTCCTCCTTTCATGTGCCTCAATGTCTTTTGTTCACCATCTTTTTTAGGTTTCTAGTGCATCATCCATGAACAAATTACCAATAATCTTTCTTTTGGTTATATTAGATTTGTCTATGTTGACCACTTTAGATTCCTAATTTGCTTCAGGAAAAGCCTGACACTTATGAGATGCTTGTTAGTGAGATGGCACTGGATATGCGTGCTCGCCCATCAGACCGGACAAAGACTCCTGAGGAAATTGCGCAGGAGGAGAAAGAACGGCTGGAATTGTTGGAGGTATGACTGCTATGACAGAATCAAGAGCTCCTTCCGTCTCTTTATACCATGCATTACAAATGACAGTATTTGGTGCATGATGGAGAAAGTGGTGACATTTCTATTAGTAAAATTGCACAATTATTTTCTAGACCAACTCAAGTCCTTTTGACAGTGTTTTCTTTTGAGGATTGAGGATCCTGTTTCTATTGATTAATTTTAACATAGCTGCTTTAATATTATCCGTATGTGCTTTCAAGTTTCAAGAGGTTGTAATGTATGTCTTCATTGTCTGCTGGGTGGTTGATGTTCTTGCATCATCATGAGTGTTCTTTAATGCCTTCATCAGGAAACTGGCTACTGTGTATTAGTAGTGATTGCTTTTTTCGAGCACTTTCGCATGGTAATGTTCTAAAACACAATAAATTCCCTTAGCAAGGAAATTTAGCTGGATTATCATTTCAAAGATCTGACACTATTACGATTGGCATCGTTTTGGTAGGATAAGGAGCATTTATGTTTTGGGTATATTAGATATTTTCTAATCAAAGCCTTTTCATTTTCAGCAAGAACGTCAGAAGAGAATGGCTGCTGCTGATGATGAGAGTGATGAAGATGGAAATGCATCTGATGATAACAGTAAATTGGTTAAAGACCCAAGAACTGTATCTGGCGATGATCTTGGGGACGATCTTGAGGAGGTGCCTAGAACTAAGTTGGGTTGGATTGGCGAAATTTTGAGAAGGAAAGAAAGTGAACTTGAGAGTGAAGATGCTGCTTCTACTGGGGATTCCGATGGTGAGGAGGACGATGGTGAGGATGAAGAAAGTGACGATGGGGAAGATGAAGGAAAAAATGATGGGGAAGATGAAGGAAGCGACGAGTATGATGAAGAGCAAGGAAAGACACAGACTATTAAGGACTGGGAGCAAAGTGACGATGATATTATTGATACTGAGCTAGAGGATGATGACGAAGGTTTTGGTGATGATGCTAAAAAGGTGGTGAAAATAAAGGACCATAAGGAGGTACCCATCAAGGGGAAACAAGTTGGCACTTTACAAACCGAAAAAGAAAAAGTGACGGTGAAGCATCGACAAAACGAACTTCCCTTTACGATTGAAGCCCCCAAAACCCTTGAGGAGTTTACTTCATTGATAGACAATTGTTCTGATGATCAAGTTATTGAAGCAATTAGGAGAATTCGTGCATTCAATGCAATAACTGTCGCAGCAGAGAATAAAAAGAAAATGCAAGTATGATACTCTATTCTCACTGTAATTTCTTTAAGATTGATGACTTTCTTCCTTCTCCTTTGTGTGAACAAAATGGTATGAAGTTTTGCCTTGAATTTTTAAGAGTATTCACCATTTAACTGTATTTACCATTACCCATGAAAATATAATGAATGAATGTTCATGTGAATATATCTGTACGCTGATCGAAAATGCATGTTGTGTTGTTCGATGATAAGATTATGGGTATTGTGAACTAGATAAGTCATTTTTGGTGGGTAAGTCTTTGCTACCTCAATTGCTTTATAAGTAGCTTGTTTCTTTCATCAGGTTTTTTACGGGGTATTGCTGCAATATTTCGCTGTGTTGGCAAATAAGAAGCCATTGAATTTCAAGCTTTTAAATTTGCTTGTAAAGCCGCTGATGGAGATGAGTGCAGCGACTCCATACTTTGCAGCTATATGTGCTCGCCAAAGGCTACAAAGGACAAGGGCACAATTTTGTGAAGATCTTAAGAATACAGGTTGCCTTTGATAACCTGTTGTTTCTTTAATTGTTCTTATTCCTTGGCTTTACTTCTTGTGTTTAATTCATTTCGTCCATCCTCTTAGGAAAAAGCAGTTGGCCATCTTTGAAGACCATCTTTCTGTTGAGGCTTTGGTCCATGATATTTCCATGCTCTGATTTTCGCCATTGTGTCATGACTCCTGCTATACTACTGCTGTGTGAATACCTTATGCGGTGTCCCATCATTTGTGGAAGAGATATTGCAATTGCTTCCTTCTTGTGCTCTTTGCTGCTAAGTGTAAGTGGATACCATGTTTCATTTATCTCCCATGCGCTGAAATTGATCATTTGTTTAAATTACGAGCGCTGGAATTTTGTTTGGTAAAAGTATTCTGTGCCATCGGAGCACATATTGTTTCCGCCTGTATAATCTTCATCTTAATCAAAGCAGCATCTAGACTTCTGGATGTGTAGTGTACTGTCTCAGCCTAGTATATATCTTCTTACTTTATTAATAGTATGTGCGCCATAGTAAACTTCTGCAACTTACCCTCCTTGGTCTAATTTCGTCAGTTCATCTATCTTTGAAACTATTTATAGTTATCTCCTTTGTTTCTCCCTCTTCCTGCTTAGTTTTTTGATGAATAAATTCCCTCTTCCTCTGCCTAATTTTGTATTTAATACATCATTTTAGTCCAGTGTGTCTGTGAGAGCAGTGATTCCTTAGAGAGCTAGTTGCTTTTTAAGTCACGACTTTAATTGCAAACATTTTCAATATCTTGCTCATTTGCTTGTATATCTCTTATTAGTTTCATTTGTGATCTTCTAAAGATTTTGGTATACACACGTGGTGTTTCTCATGCTCGAGATCTGAATTCATACCCTAGCTTTGCTTGTTTAAGGTGTAAAAAGCTTCAGAAACTTTATTAGTTCTCTTCACAATCTGTAAGAGCTACTTCTGATGTACCTCTTGTACATCACTGCATACACTTGATGCTTTTACAAATATACAAATTTACCTTACCTAAGAAATAAAAAAGGCTTCAGAATTTTTTTTATTTGGTGGGCTTTTTCTTGAACAGGATATTTGGTAGACAGTCTTAAATTTCACTTTTCCTTACTCATAGGTAGTGGCGGCAAAATGGTTAAAAGAAAATAGTTATCCACCCATATTACAACAACAACAACAACAACGACCCAGTAAAATCCCACAAAGTGGGGTTCGGGAGGGTAGTGTGTACGCAGACCTTATCCTTACCCCGATAGGGCAGAGAGGCTGTTTCTGATAGACCCTCGGCTCAGTACAACGGAAATAAAACAAGAAGAGACAATTCATTAGTAACGTCAGCAGAAACCATAGAAATAGTAACAGAAGCATAAAAACCATAAAATAGATGACATGCAATAACAATAACCAGTAATTAAGGCTTGGGGCTATGGTAAACAGAAAGGATAGTGTGGACTCAACATTAACCACTAACCATCTAAGATCGACCCTATCAAACCCGCCTCACCCCCGGTATGAAGTAGAAAAAGCTCGACTACCCCCTAGTCTACTACCCTAATGCTTGACCTCCAGGCCTTCCTATCAAGGGTCTAGAAAAAGTTATCCACCCATATTATCCATTATAAAATGGGTTGGATAATATACTTTTTAAAAGCGGGTCCAATATGGATAAGAACCATATTATCCACTTAAAAATGGATAACCAATGGTTAACCAATATAAAGCCTCAAGTTGGGGGTTTCTCAAGTTTAGGAGACTAAGAATTTTCCAAAAGTGATTATCTTCAAGAAGCATGGATAATATGGATATCCATATTATCCGCAGGTAACGCGTTTTTTATCCGTATTAAATATGGGTCGGGTCGGATAATTTATTCGTTTTTGCATTACCTGCTTTCGACTTGTCCGTACCCGACCCGCCCGTTTGTCACCCTACTCATAGGTAATGTCGGAATGCTGTTATTTAGTATCTCGCAATTCGGTCTCTTTAGTTCTTTGCAGGTTTAAAGAGTTCATATGAAGAACTTATTCCCATATCATTTCGTTTTGACACCATGCGCCTGGGCAAATTAGAGGCTAGGTAACCCAGGTAGTGATATAGAAGTGCTTCACGTATCCAAGTGATCACCAATTTATCCAATGAGCTGAGCGAAGCCCACTGTCTAATACTCTCTTGTTCCCTATCTGTTATTACTTTTGTTGTCTGTTCCAAAAAGATTGCACCTTTTTATACTTCAGAAGTAGTTAACTTAAACATTCTCATCTTGTCATTGGTACGGCTTTGTTGCAGTCTCCACTGGAAATGAAAACTAATACTATAACTTGGTACTATGTGTAATTTTTGTAATTTTTTGCATATTTAGCTTATTATCGGAACTCTTTGTTTCTTCCTTAGACTTTGTGTTCGGTCAAACACAGTCAAACAAATTGGAATAGAGGGAGTATCTTGCTTAGGACTTTTTCAGGTTAATGGAACCAGATTATTCGCAGTAGTCAACTAGTCATCCCCCTTGCACCTATGAGTGACTGCACTCGACTCAAGTTGGTTAGGGTAGCTATGTGTGATTTATCCTCAACTGTGGGTCAAATAGCACGTGAAAATTAAAGATCGGTTGATCGTAGGAACGCACATTTTGGGATTAACTTTTGGTTTTTATTTCGTTTATTCTCGAAAGCGTTCTTCCTGGTTGATGGTGTTTGCAATTACAGAATGATCATATGAACTTAGTTCTCCAAGCTTATGGATATCAACTTCTTGCCCTGCAGGTAACTAAACAATCTCAGAAGTTCTGTCCTGAGGCTATAGTATTTATTCAAACTTTGCTGATGGCGGCTTTAGACAGAAAGCAGCGGTCTAATTCCCAGGTTTGGCTTAGCTGAAGCTTATGGTGTTCTTCTTGCTAATCTAATTCTTGAAGATGTTAACCATCGCCCTTTTCTTATTTTGCAAATACTTTTTATTGTCATTGCGAAGTGTTTTGGTTGCTTCCTTCCACTTGTGAATTGACAGGCATGTTCTTGTGCTGCAGTTGGATAACCTTATGGAGATCAAAGAACTTGGGCCTTTGCTTTGTATACGCAGTAGCAAAGTGGACATGGATTCTTTAGATTTTCTTACGCTGATGGACTTACCAGAGGACTCTCAGTATTTCCACTCTGATAACTACAGGTTAGTTAGCGTTCTATTGACATGCATATGGACAAATCTATTAGAGGAATCCCAAAGTTCGTTAAATTGTTAAATATGGCTCTATTTTAAGATACTTGAACAAATTAGAAATATGTTCAAAAGTCTCTGTCTAGGTCCATTCAAGATGTGGTTTGTTATTCTAGCTTTCAATATCCTAATATTATGATTGTCAATCAGCTGGTTAACATAAGAAGTATCTCTGCTTGAAATTCTACACCTAATTTACTTTTCTGGGAACCTAGAACTTGATGCGATTATATGGTTTCTCATTCAGGGCCAGCATGCTTGTAACAGTTCTGGAAACCCTGCAAGGATTTGTAAATGTGTATAAGGAACTTATTTCTTTTCCTGAGATTTTCATGCCAATTTCAAAATTATTATGCAAATTGGCTGGAGAAAATCATATTCCAGATGCATTAAGGGAGAAGATCGAGGATGTTTCCCAATTAATTGATACGAAGGCTCAGGAACATCACATGCTGCGTCAACCTCTGAAAATGCGGAAGAAAAAACCTGTGCCCATCAGGATGCTTAATCCGAAATTTGAGGAGAAGTAATATACTTTTGTATTGCATTCATTATCTTGAATTAAACGAATCAAATTGTTTGTGTTTCCTATTGAGCTTAATCATCTGCTCATCATCTACTTCTACAGCTTTGTCAAGGGTAGAGATTATGATCCAGATCGCGAGCGTGCTGAAATGAAAAAGTTGAAGAAACGACTGAAACAGGAAGCTAAAGGTGCTGCGCGTGAACTGGTCAAGGATAATAGGTTCTTGGCCGAGGCGAAGGAAAGAGAAAAGGCCCTACTAGCCGCAGAAAAGGCTGAGAAACATGGGAAAAATCTTGCTTTTCTGCAAGAACAAGAGCATGCATTTAAATCAGGGCAATTGGGTAAGGGCCGGAAGAGAAGAAGATGAAATTAGCTTTTGGGTTGTCACTTGGAAAATCTTTTTGTCAAATGCTTCCTGGTTTTTGGTAAGGTTTCATTCTTTATGTTGCATTGACAGTGAATATATAATCAATTATTTTCCATGTGTTTGTCATGTTCAAATATCTGAACTAAAATGTGGTCGTCATATGCAGTAGATGTAGATACTAATGAACAACCCATAATGCTACGTATCAGTGTTAGAACTGTTAATGATACAAAATGTTGAACGTTTGCTCCTTCATTATTCCAGGGCAAGGAAGAATGCAGAATGTTGGAAGTACAGAGGGATCGAACGAACTATTGTGTGCTCTAAATGCTGGATTCATGTGGTTACAACATGCGCCTTCTCTCTTTCCCTCCAACTGTGCCATAGTGATGCCACTGAAATTGGTTGCTGTATTTGGAGGCTCGAGCTGTGTAGTGGAAGAGCTCTCCAATTTTGTTTTGTCTTATAGCTGAATATCAGTTTTGTCCAACTCTATAGGCGAATACAATGTTGAGTTGTAAGAAGGGATAACTATGTTCCTCGGACTGATGCGCGTTGTTACTTGTTTCATGTTGTATTTGTCATTTACATCTAACAGAAGAAAGTATCAGTTCATTGTGTTAAAACCATTTTTGTTATTGTCCAATTGCCACCACCTGGTAATCATGGATCGGAGTTTCTTGCATATGTTAGCCCTCGTGACCATAGTAAACTTAACCATTGAAATAGTATCAGATCAGTTAAAATTCTGGTAAAACTGGTACTAATGTTCCTCGTCAGTAAACAACTTCAGCTGCAGCAAATTCAAAAAAATGGTTAAAGTTGGACAAGCAGTTCCATTGATTTAACTATGAAATACGGAAAATGGTGAATTAGGATGATATGCCTGTCGTTATATGCCCAATCTGTCCGGTAATTGCTCATTCATGTCCTTAGTTTAACGGAATTATTATTTTATTTTTCTTAAATAATTAATTATCGGAACCAACGAAAATCTGTTGACCTGATCCGTTAGGACCCGACCCACACTTATTTTAAAGATATTTTTTGATACATTATTTTTGTCTGATTGAGAAATTGTGTGATAATTATATTTATTTATTTGAGTAATTTGATAATCGATTTTTTTGTTATACATCATTTCGGAAGTAATCCTACTAAAAGTAGTAATGGATATTTATTTATTATTTTAATGATATAATATTCGAATTAGTTTGTGCTTTCTTCAATCATTTTACCATCTATTTTTTTTTTTCTCACAATCTATTGTATTTTTCACCAATACAAATACAATTATACAAATAACTCCTTGTTCACTATAACTTAAACTGATGGATCCGTTTTTTTTATTTAGATAAGTGATCATTATATGATTGATTATTAGTTTATTGGATTATTTTCTGCATTACAAATTTGTTATGGAACAATTAATAAATTGTTAAAACAATGGTGCTTCTTTTCCATGTTTATTAATTAATTATTTCATAAGAAATATTATTTCATAACAAGCTTCACCGTTAAAATAGTGGTGCTTCTTTTCCATTTTTATTAATTAATTATTTCATAACAAATATTATTTCATAACAAGCACCACTAAGAAAAATTAAAATAGATGGTAAAATGATTGAAGAAAGCACAAACTAATACGAATATTATATAATTAAAATAATAAATAAATATCAGTTACTACTTTTAGTAGGATTACTTCCCGAAATGATGTATAACAAAAAAAAGAAAAAAATCGATTATCAAATTACTCAAATAAATTAATATGATTATCACACAATTTCTCAATCAAACAAAAATAATATATCAAAAAATATCTTTGAAATAAGGGTGGGTCAGGTCCTAATGGATCGGGTTTGTAGATTTTGGTTGGGTTCGATAATTAATTATTTAAGAAAGACAAAATAGTGGTCCCGTTACACTAAGTGCATGAATGAGCAAGTATTGGATGGATTTGACATATCTGTACCAAACTATTAACGAGGGGCATATCTGTCCTAATTTGCATAGTTCACTGGCATATATGACCCTTTCCCGTATGAAATATGGTTCTATATGAAAATGGAAATTATGTGAAACAAACTAAAAAATAAATACAAATTTTTGGTAGAACAATAAAGAGAAATGTCTCTTTCCTGTGGTACACCTTAGGAAACTTTATGTTAAAGAAAACGACAATAGTTTAATCATAATTCTCATAATATTCCACAAGTCTTTTCAAACATGTCAAATATAACATGTCTAACTTGAACTCAAACAAAAGTTTTTTCTTCTTGCTGGAAATAGTTGTTTCTGAATATGTGTCATCAACCAGCTTGCTTAATTAGATTCATGCTGCTATGCCCTACAACTTTTGCTATTCTTTCTTCCATCTCCTTACTTTTTTGGAGCATCTGCTGCTACTGTTCTCGAATGCTTGAAGCTTATGTTCTTTTATAAGGAAACAAAGTTTATTTAAGTACTAGTTCTGGTTTCTGTCCTTAGGAGTGACTAGTGAGGGTGACCCCTATTCTAGGTTATAGTTAGCTTTAGTGAAATTATTATAAATAAATTATTACCCATTTTGGGTATGAAATTAATTTCGACGTTCAATGTGCAAAAAGTTGAAATTACTTGGTGATAAAAATTTAAAAAATATTATGGTGACTTAGAATGTTTCCTAAAACATACACAAGTTGTTTTGAATAGTATATATAGATGACCTCAAAATGGCTGGAATACCACCGTTTAGATAAAAGGGATATATGAATCTTATTGTATAAATTAGAAATGGGTAGAGAAATGGGGAGTAACATTGGGTCTAAGCCTCCTTTACTAAAAGTACGTGGAAGTTGATTCTTTTCTATTGAGATACCCAATTAGGGACCAACCCATATTGCAGTAAATCATCATAACAGAACACCTACACACAAATATGATAGACTGGAATTTTAAGTAACAAATTAAGTGCATGCAATTTAATTTGTAAAATCAAAGATAAAATTAAAAAGTATATTAGAATACATCTAGCAAAGGAAACATGCATAAGTGCACCCGCCATTGGAAGCACAATTAAATGCAGATCCATGTGGAATATCTTTGCCCCTAGTTCAACAATATCAAAGTGCCATAGCTGCACATTCTGGAAATCTTCCGAATGTACTCGGACTCCGTGCAAATAAGTCCTATAAAAAGAATAAGTATGAGAAATAAGATGGAAATGTAGACTGCCATCTATAAGTCATAATCGTAGAAAATATATCGTTCAATTTCTATCAGTGTTAGAGAAAAAAACATAAAGCTTATGAGCTCCAATAAATGTTTTAATCTCACCCTCGACCAACATCCAATTCCTCATTTGAATGAACAAGAAATACATAGTAAAGACATAATTGCTGTACAGATAAATAAATCATTCCAACCAATGATATATGTGGTAATACCCTTAAAATACAGTAACCTAACAAGAGTAAATGGATGTAAATATAAAGTTGTTTGGAAAATAACTTATATAATCGGGCAAAATAAACAAAATAAGAAATACGGTACCCTTATTTTGTCAGAGAATGGTCTGTTACTGAGCTTTGAAGGTATTATGATAGAATAGAAGATTTGATGCTTTGAGTAAGGAAGTACTACAATTCATATTCGAACAAGAAAAAAGGAAAAAGAGAAAACAACAATGAAGTAGCCGCAACCAGCTATCCTGGGCAGCTTCATCTCATAAAGGCCTTTTTCTTTTTTGTCTTTTATACTAGCAATATAAAAAAATCGTTATCGTTGTGTCTTCAACACCCAGCTCCTTTTTATTTTGCTAGGGCACTGAACCACATTAATAGGCTAATGCTTTTAAGTAGCCTAATATATTTTTCAAAAACTGTTAAAATAAATTTTGAAAACTTCTAAAAGAAGAAGACTCAACCAAAATGCATTAGAGAAAGAATTTTGGCAGAATATATAGACATACGCTTAAAGCTGGCAGTAACTGTCAGTTTAATATTTTAACCTAGATAGTGACCATCAAGAGACTTCTACTTGACTTATGTGTGTCTTGTAATCCCTCATGAAGACATCACAAAGTGTTTGATTTTCACACAACTTTGGGTGTGTGAAAGCCATAAAAATTATATTTTTACTTTATTTACTTCACTGAACCCCACTTTCTTTATCCACAATCAAACCATAGCCACCATCACTTTTCTGCCACCCTCACAACCAAGCCACAACCTCATCACCATCCTCATGCCACCATCCCAACAAGTAGGGGTGTGCGTTCGAATCGTTTTATCGATAAATCGAATCGATTATTTGTTATCGGTTTATCGATTTATCGATTTCGATTTCAATTTCGAAATTTTTCTTATCGAGTTATCGATTTTGATTTTGTCCTCTTCGATTATCGGTTCATCGATAAACCGATAAGATATACTAAACAGACAAATATACCCTTATTCTATAATACCCTTTCCTTTTTTTTTGTTGATGTTTGTGTTTGTCTCCTCAAGCAATGAAGTTAGAGTCGTGCCACGTCTTCTCAACTCTTTCATGAACAATGACTCTGGAGGTTCTTCACCATTACTACTCTGGTTTTCACTGTCTTGATGTCACAACCCCAATCCCGGTCGTGATGGCGCCCAACACTAATGCTAGGCAAGCCCGACCAATTAAATACTCTCAACCCAAATACGCAATCCGTTAATAAATAATACATTTAAAATAGCAATATCAAGGTTCCAATCCGAAACTAAATAAAATAGTACGGAAAATAATAACGAATATCCGAACATTCCCCAATAGATCTGGAGTCACGAGTCTAGAGCCTCTAGATGTAATAGAGTAATATATCCATAGTAATAAGGAAGTCTAGGATATGGAAAGATAAATGAAATAAAGGGGAGGAGTCGGGTCCTGCGGACGTCAGGCAGCTACCTCAACAACTCCTGAAAATAAACTTCACGAAAACAGCAAACAACTCCACTAAGTCTCCGGAGCACCTGAATCTGCACACATGGTGCAGGGAGTAAAGTGAGTACTTCCAACTCAGTGAGTAATAAACATATATAATGGCTGAAAGTAAGAAATTCCGAAATATTACAATATAAAGCTATAGTCAGCGATTCAGCACATAAAACGGTAGAACAACAACAATACCGGGACAAGTAAGACAAATGGTATAAATGCATGAATGCAATGCAATGCACATGACCGCTGCGGCGCGCAGCTCGATCCATTTGGGTACCTGCGCTCACTGTGAGGGTTCAGACTCCGGAGGGGCTCCTACAGCCCAAGCGCAATATCATCGTAGCATTCGCTGCGGCGTGCAACCCGATCCACACTCAGTCCAGATATATATGCATGCAAGCTACTCGGGCACAGTCAAATTATCCATTTTTAGTTTCAATTATTAAGAATTATAGAGCTAAGTGTGTAAACCTTTATTTATTTACTAACATTTCAAGGCAGTGTCTAACTCAGGACTGATATCATGAAATATGCTAAGTATCATGGAAGTAGTGATAAGGATCCCTGAAGAATGCAAATGATAGGCACAAAGCCCCAAACATATTCATAAAAATCCAAGTAGGATGATTACCAAACAATTTCTAGTCAAAAACACAGTACGAATATCAATCGGAACGAACTAGGTCAAAATCCCAGTCA